AGCAAAGGCAGCATTGTCGTCGAGGTGTCGGTCGGCGGGGTGGTCGGCGTCCGTCCTGACACCGGCCCGTGCTCCGACTTCCACACCTCCAGCGACATATCCTCGTAGAACACCACGTCCGACGTGGTGACCACCCGGTTGTCGGCGATGTCGAGGAGTTCCCAGCCCTTGCTCTCCTCCGACATGCCTAGGTGAAGGCCCCACCTGGCCTTCGGCTTCAGCTTCCCACCACGCTGCTGCTCGGGGACCAAGAACTGTGCCATGCAGCCCCACACCCGTGCCAGCGACAAGTCGGGCTTCGTCCCGATGAGAAGCTGGTACGGCGTCATCCCCGGCTGCAGTGTCGACCTCTCAAGGCAGTTGCGGACCCAGACGGCCTGCCGTAGAGCGAGGTGCCACCAGTGGTGCTGCACGCCCATATGCAACAGCATCGTCCGCACGGACTCCACCACCGTTCGCATCTCGCGCTCCGCCATGCCGTTCTGCTGCGGGGTGTACGGGCAGGTCAGGTTGTGGACGATCCCCTTGCCGTCCACGAAGTCGGTGAACTTCTTCCCGAGGAACTCCCCTCCCTGGTCTGAGCGCAGCATCAGCACCAGCTTCTTCGCCTGCCTCTCCACCAATACCAGCCACTTCTGGAATTCCAGGAGCACATCCGACTTCTTGGCGACCGGCCTCACCCACACGTAGCGGGTCTTGCGGTCCTTCAACAGCAAGAAGTACAAGCTGCCGTCCTTGGCAGCCACGCGGAACGGCCCACACAGGTCGATGTGCACGACAGCCAGCACGTCGTCGGCGTCGGAGCCTTGGTCGGGAAAGATGTGCCACGCCAACTTCCCGCCGACACACGAGACGCACGGCGAGTCGGCGCCCGACGCCAACTTGAGGTCCTACCCAGTGGCGACCCTGTGCTTCGCCGAGCTCTGGATGGTGTCCATGCCGACGTGTGCAGCTCTCGCATGTAGCCTGTCCGACGTCGACTTCGTCGCCGAGACGATCGTCCGCAGGGCCATAACTTCCGCCATGGGCGACGTCGACCTCATTGAGCAGAGACGCAGGTCGGTGCAGAGGACTCGCCCAGTGTAGGACGCTCGACCGAGGACGTCTCCCGCCGCCGAGACGAGCAACATCCCGTCTCCGTCCTCCTGCAGCTTCACGCCGTTCTCCTTCAGCTGGCCAGCCGAGAGCAGGTTCGCCCGCACACCCGGGATATAGAGCACGTCGGGGATGAGCACCCGCTTCCCGGCCTCGCCTTGCAGGGCGACAGTGTCGCGGCCCTGGACGTCCTGCAGAGCCCCGTTGAAGCCGCGCACGTGTTTGATTTCGCCACTCGGCTGCAGGTTGACGAAGGCCTCCTTCGTCCCCAGCAGATGGTGCGAGCAGCCGCTATCGAGCAGGACGACCGCCACGTTCGCCTGCACAGCTGCTGCCACCGCCTGGAAGTCCTCGCCAGCCTCCGGCGCCAGCGAGACAATCGGCTCCACGACGCCGACCAACGAGCATGATGCCGTCTTATCGTCCCACCCCTTGCCGCCAGCAGAGGAGTCGGCGTCCTTCGCCGAGGTCGACGTGGTCGACTGCTTCTCCTTGCGCGGCTTGTTTCCTCCTCAACGAGGTCGACGGCTGCAAGACCTTCCGCGACCTCCCTTGGCGTCGTGGTCGTCGGAGTCGCTGCAGTCGGGGCACTCGAAGGAGAGGTGGTTGGGGTCGCCGCACAGCCAGCAGTCCCGACGTCGACTTCCTCCACCTCGACCGCTGTCCTTGGTCGACTTCTTCTTGTCGACTTCCTTAGTCGGCTTCCAGCCACTGCTACCGCCACCGCCAGACTACCCGCGCTGCCCCAGTCGACCTCCTTGCTTCGCCGGGGCGACGTAGTTTACCTGCGCCAGGAGCTCATGGGACCGCTCGGCCTCCTGCATCGCCTCGTCGTGCAGGATGTACGAGGTCAGCATATCCTCGTTGAGTGTCGCCCGCGTGCTCGGCGCCATTGACAGCCGCTTCAGCAGGTTGTAGCTGCTCGGGAGTCCCTGCATGACGTGGGTGACGTACGACGCCGTCGAGTACTGCGCGCCGGCCATCCTTATGGTGGTGATAATTCGCTGAGCTTGGTTGCAGTACTGGTCGCCGTATCCTGGTCGCCCATACGCAGGTGCGTCAGCTGCCCCTCCAGCTGGGCGATGAACAAATCGTCAGTGACCTGGTAGGTCGATTCGATAAAGTGCAATGCCTGGTGGCCGACGTCGAGGTACTCCCTCCACCACTTCAAGGCGATCTGCACGCCTGGCGAGTAGCACCGCGAAATGATCGTGAAGGTCAGCAGTTGCACGGCGCAAAACTCCGCTCGCAAGTCGGGGTGGTGCTCCTCCGGCGTCGCCACGGTCTCTCGGGCGAAGCCGATCAGCCCGGCCATCTCCAGCTGGGGCTCGATGGCTTCCTTCCACGTGAGGATGTCGGGTCAACCAACGAGCGGCGGGGTGACCAAGATCCTGTCCGGCGTAAACTTGAAGTAGCCGTAGCTCGGTGCAATCCTGCCTGCTGTCACGTGGGTCGCCGACATCGGCGACAATCCACTTCGACGACCTCCGACGTCGCCCTGCGAGAAGCCTGCAGCCGTTGACGACTGCATCCCTCACACTTGAACGCCGCCGACCTCATCGGCGTTTATCACACCTCGCTGCCTCGACGTGCCTTTCGCACTGCTGCCGACTTGGCGTCGACGCCGCCCTCGGTGTTTACCGGTCGAGGAGAGACAAGCCGAGAAGGGTGCTCCGTCGCCCACACAGCACGGATGCCAGCCTCGACGACCGCCCAGGGCAGGTCGCCATACTCCTTTGCCTCATGACGTCTCCTCGCGTTCTCCAGCCGTACCTCCAGGGTGTCCACCACCCCTGCGTCACCTACGGCGCCTACCATAGCGACTACCGCACAGCTGCCGGCCTACAACACGCAATATGTAAGTGACCACTACGTCGACCTGACTGAAAGGTAAGTCGTGTGCCGTCCACGCTCACCGCACCATGCGGAGATAACTACTACAACGGGAGCTAGACTACGGGCTAGGCACGGGTGCTCATGTGATCTCTGCGTTCATTGTTCCTTAGTCGTTTTCCTAGTGCACACACTTCTTGCTAGTTCACGGGGTAATTTGGCAAGAGTTTCACTAAGAAAGGTTAACAACAATGGTACAATCAGGTTGGCAAGACATGACTACATCAGAGCTAGCAAGCAAGAAGGTCGACTGTGTTCCAGCACTGCTTGGTCGACCGCACTCCAGTAGTCATGTCTTGCCAACCTGATTGAACTGCCACCGCAGCACGGTCGACCGCGTTCCAGCACTGCTTGGTCGACCGCACTCCAGTAGTGCAAAGTCGAGAGCGTGCCAACGCTGCAAGTCAACGGCGTCCAGCATTGCTCCTGCATCACAGCAGCGCACCTACTTCGCAAGTGCTCGCAAGTGATTGGCGTGCCATGCCTTGTCATCTGCACAACGCACACACCAAATCAACCTCATGCTGACGAATGCATCTGATCAGCCACGTCGACCTCGGATACCACCACCGAGGTCGGCCTCGCCACAAACACCCAGTTGGCTACCCCAGGTTGGCGTCACCAAGTCGACGCCCCTTCTAAGTCGGCACCGACTTTCAAGCCGACCTCTTGAAGTCGGCGACCTCCCAAGTCGGCGACCTCGCAAGTCGGCGACCTCGCAAGTCGGCGACCTCGCAAGTCGGCGACCTCGCAAGTCCTAAACCCTTGCAAGTCGGCGACCTCCCAAGTCGGCGGCCTTGCAAGTCGGCAACCTCGCAAGTCGACGACCTTGCAAGTCGGCGCCGACTTCCAGGTCGACGCGCCAGATCGCCGACCACTAGTTGAAGTCGGCCGCCGGCTTCCCAAGTCGGCGACATTGCAGTGGCCCCGTCGACCAGCTTGCCCAAGTCGGTGTCGCCCACTGCTGCAAGTCGGCTGCACCTCCCGTACACCCAACCACGAAGTCGGCTCCGCCCAAGCGAGGATGGGGCCAACAACAACTCCCGTTGACACCTACGGCATCAACAAGTGCAATTGCCGACCGTGGCCTTGCCGCCATCGCCGAAGCGGAGCAGGAAGCACCGCCTGAAGAAGGGCTGTCTCACTTGGAGCTCAAGACTGCCACGCGCGTCGTTTTCGGAATGGAGGAACATCCCCTCCCTGGACCCGCATCGCAACATCTCCGCGGCATGCTGTATGGCGTCGGCGTCAGCACCTTTGATGCGCACGGATTTCCGCGACCCTACACTAAGGAGAATTTTTTGGAGATCTACGCTCACCAGCACGACTCTACGAAAAAGCTTACTGTGGCGCAAGAGGAGGAACTGGCGCGACGCGAAGCAGAAGAGATTTGTCAACGGAGCCTTGCGGAGTCGCGCGGCACATTCGCCTAGAGCGGATGGGGCGAAGAGGAGAGTGCCTCCAATGAAGGGGGGTGGGGAAGCGCTGGCGGATGGGGCACGAGCGACACTAGCGGCGACTGTTGTAATTGTACATTCTATACAACATTCATAGGCTAGAATAGGTGTAGTCCCTTATGTTCTTGGGGGGTTGGGTGTACACTCCAACCACACTTTGTGGTTGGTCAAGATTGGATTTGGTCTTGGTCCTTGGTTGGCACTTGCCAACTTTTGGTCCTAACACCAACCAATCACTACCTAGCTACAATGTGGGGTTTCCTCCTCCACAAGGCATCTCTCCCATTGGCCAACTTAGTGGCCAATAGGGTTAGCTCCTCCTCCACTCCTTTCTTCCTTGCATGCTTATATTATAGAGCCTCCTTGGCTCATTACACAATTATTATTGAATCCTATCACGGTATTCAGAGCCAAATGGCTCACGCCGTCTTCCCTCGATCCTTAGGGCATAACTCACTCTCCCTTCCTCAACCCTAGCGGACTATGACCTACATCCGCTCTCCCGCACCTCAGATCTAGCCTCCCGCGGCTCAGTTCCGCCCTCCCGCACCTCAGATCTAGTCTCCCGCGGCTCAAATCTACTCCTCCGCGGCCTCGTTCCTCCCTCCCGCGGCCTCGTTCCTCCCTCCCCTCCCGCGGCCTCGTTCCTCCCTCCCGCGGCCTCGTTCCTCCCTCCCCTCCCGCGGCCTCGTTCCTCCCTCCCGCGGCCTCGTTCCTCCCTCCCCTCCCGCGGCCTCGTTCCTCCCTCCCGCGGCCTCGTTCCTCCCTCCCCTCCCGCGGCCTCGTTCCTCGTTCCTCCCTCCCGCGGCCTCGTTCCTCCCTCCCCTCCCGCGGCCTCGTTCCTCGTTCCTCCCTCCCGCGGCCATCGTTCCTCCCTCCCCTCCCGCGGCCTCGTTCCTCGTTCCTCCCTCCCGCGGCCTCGTTCCTCCCTCCCCTCCCGCGGCCATCGTTCCTCGTTCCTCCCTCCCGCGGCCTCGTTCCTCCCTCCCCTCCCGCGGCCTCGTTCCTCGTTCCTCCCTCCCGCGGCCTCGTTCCTCCCTCCCCTCCCGCGGCCTCGTTCCTCGTTCCTCCCTCCCGCGGCCTCGTTCCTCCCTCCCCTCCCGCGGCCTCGTTCCTCGTTCCTCCCTCCCGCGGCCTCGTTCCTCCCTCCCCTCCCGCGGCCTCGTTCCTCGTTCCTCCCTCCCGCGGCCTCGTTCCTCCCTCCCCTCCCGCGGCCTCGTTCCTCGTTCCTCCCTCCCGCGGCCTCGTTCCTCCCTCCCCTCCCGCGGCCTCGTTCCTCGTTCCTCCCTCCCGCGGCCTCGTTCCTCCCTCCCCTCCCGCGGCCTCGTTCCTCGTTCCTCCCTCCCGCGGCCTCGTTCCTCCCTCCCCTCCCGCGGCCTCGTTCCTCGTTCCTCCCTCCCGCGGCCTCGTTCCTCCCTCCCCTCCCGCGGCCTCGTTCCTCGTTCCTCCCTCCCGCGGCCTCGTTCCTCCCTCCCCTCCCGCGGCCTCGTTCCTCGTTCCTCCCTCCCGCGGCCTCGTTCCTCCCTCCCCTCCCGCGGCCTCGTTCCTCGTTCCTCCCTCCCGCGGCCTCGTTCCTCCCTCCCCTCCCGCGGCCTCGTTCCTCGTTCCTCCTCCCGCGGGCCCGTCGTTCCTCCCTCCCCTCCCGCGGCCTCGTTCCTCGTTCCTCCCTCCCGCGGCCTCGTTCCTCCCTCCCCTCCCGCGGCCTCCGTTCCTCGTTTCCTCCCTCCCGCGGCCATCGTTCCTCCCTCCCCTCCCGCGGCCATCGTTCCTCGTTCCTCCCTCCCTCCCGCGGCCTCGTTCCTCCCTCCCCTCCCGCGGCCTCGTTCCTCCGTTCCTCCCTCCTCCCGCGGCCTCGTTCCTCCCTCCCCTCCCGCGGCCTCGTTCCTCGTTCCTCCCTCCTCCCGCGGCCCTCGTTCCTCCCTCCCCTCCCGCGGCCTCGTTCCTCGTGAGTCCCTCCCTCCCGCGGCCTCGTTCCTCCCTCCCCTCCCGCGGCCTCGTTCCTCGTTCCATCCTCCCGCGGCCTCGTTCCTCCCTCCCCTCCCGCGGCGGGCCTCGTTCCTCCTTCCTCGTTCCTCCTCCCTCCCGCGGCCTTCGTTCCTCCCTCCCCTCCCCGCGGCCATCGTTCCTCGTTCCTCCCTCCCGCGGCCTCGTTCCTCCCTCCCCTCCCGCGGCCTCGTTCCTCCCTCCTCCCTCCCTCCCGCGGCCTCGTTCCTCCCTCCCCTCCCGCGGCCTCGTTCCTCGTTCCTCCCTCCCGCGGCCTCGTTCCTCCCTCCCCTCCCGCGGCCTCGTTCCTCCCTCCTCCCTCCCTCCCGCGGCCTCGTTCCTCCCTCCCCTCCCGCGGCCTCGTTCCTCGTTCCTCCTCCCGCGGCCTCGTTCCTCCCTCCCTCCCGCGGCCTCGTTCCTCCCTCCTCCCTCCCTCCCGCGGCCTCGTTCCTCCCTCCCTCCCGCGGCCTCGTTCCTCGTTCCTCCCTCCCGCGGCCTCGTTCCTCCCTCCCTCCCGCGGCCTCGTTCCTCCCTCCTCCCTCCCTCCCGCGGCCTCGTTCCTCCCTCCCTCCCGCGGCCTCGTTCCTCGTTCCTCCCTCCCGCGGCCTCGTTCCTCCCTCCCTCCCGCGGCCTCGTTCCTCCCTCCTCCCTCCCTCCCGCGGCCTCGTTCCTCCCTCCCTCCCGCGGCCTCCCTCCTCCCTCCCTCCCGCGGCCTCGTTCCTCCCTCCCTCCCGCGGCCTCGTTCCTCCCTCCTCCCTCCCTCCCGCGGCCTCGTTCCTCCCTCCCTCCCGCGGCCTCGTTCCTCCCTCCCTCCCGCGGCCTCGTTCCTCCCTCCCTCCCGCGGCCTCGTTCCTCCTCCCGGCCCGTTCCTCCTCCCTCGCGGCCTCGTTCCTCCCTCCCTCCCGCGGCCTCGTTCCTCCCTCCCTCCCGCGGCCTCGTTCTCCCTCCCTCCCGCGGCCTCGTTCCTCCCTCCCTCCCGCGGCCTCGTTCCTCCCTCCCTCCCGCGGCCTCGTTCCTCCCTCCCTCCCGCGGCCTCGTTCCTCCCTCCCTCCCGCGGCCTCGTTCCTCCCTCCCTCCCGCGGCCTCGTTCCTCCCTCCCTCCCGCGGCCTCGTTCCTCCCTCCCTCCCGCGGCCTCGTTCCTCCCTCCCTCCCGCGGCCTCGTTCCTCCCTCCCTCCCGCGGCCTCGTTCCTCCCTCCCTCCCGCGGCCTCGTTCCTCCCTCCCTCCCGCGGCCTCGTTCCTCCCTCCCTCCCGCGGCCTCGTTCCTCCCTCCCTCCCGCGGCCTCGTTCCTCCCTCCCTCCCGCGGCCTCGTTCCTCCCTCCCTCCCGCGGCCTCGTTCCTCCCTCCCTCCCGCGGCCTCGTTCCTCCCTCCCTCCCGCGGCCTCGTTCCTCCCTCCCTCCCGCGGCCTCGTTCCTCCCTCCCTCCCGCGGCCTCGTTCCTCCCTCCCTCCCGCGGCCTCGTTCCTCCCTCCCTCCCGCGGCCTCGTTCCTCCCTCCCTCCCGCGGCCTCGTTCCTCCCTCCCTCCCGCGGCCTCGTTCCTCCCTCCCTCCCGCGGCCTCGTTCCTCCCTCCCTCCCGCGGCCTCGTTCCTCCCTCCCTCCCGCGGCCTCGTTCCTCCCTCCCTCCCGCGGCCTCGTTCCTCCCTCCCTCCCGCGGCCTCGTTCCTCCCTCCCTCCCGCGGCCTCGTTCCTCCCTCCCTCCCGCGGCCTCGTTCCTCCCTCCCTCCCGCGGCCTCGTTCCTCCCTCCCTCCCGCGGCCTCGTTCCTCCCTCCCTCCCGCGGCCTCGTTCCTCCCTCCCTCCCGCGGCCTCGTTCCTCCCTCCCCTCCCGCGGCCTCGTTCCTCCCTCCCTCCCGCGGCCTCGTTCCTCCCTCCCCTCCCGCGGCCTCGTTCCTCCCTCCCTCCCGCGGCCTCGTTCCTCCCTCCCCTCCCGCGGCCTCGTTCCTCCCTCCCTCCCGCGGCCTCGTTCCTCCCTCCCTCCCGCGGCCTCGTTCCTCCCTCCCCTCCCGCGGCCTCGTTCCTCCCTCCCTCCCGCGGCCTCGTTCCTCCCTCCCTCCCGCGGCCTCGTTCCTCCCTCCCCTCCCGCGGCCTCGTTCCTCCCTCCCCTCCCGCGGCCTCGTTCCTCCCTCCCTCCCGCGGCCTCGTTCCTCCCTCCCCTCCCGCGGCCTCGTTCCTCCCTCCCTGGCCTCGTTCCTCCCTCCCCTCCCGCGGCCTCGTTCCTCCCTCCCTCCCGCGGCCTCGTTCCTCCCTCCCTGGCCTCGTTCCTCCCTCCCCTCCCGCGGCCTCGTTCCTCCCTCCCTCCCGCGGCCTCGTTCCTCCCTCCCTCCCGCGGCCTCGTTCCTCCCTCCCTCCCGCGGCCTCGTTCCTCCCTCCCTCCCGCGGCCTCGTTCCTCCCTCCCTCCCGCGGCCTCGTTCCTCCCTCCCTCCCGCGGCCTCGTTCCTCCCTCCCTCCCGCGGCCTCGTTCCTCCCTCCCCTCCCGCGGCCTCGTTCCTCCCTCCCTCCCGCGGCCTCGTTCCTCCCTCCCTCCCGCGGCCTCGTTCCTCCCTCCCTCCCGCGGCCTCGTTCCTCCCTCCCCTCCCGCGGCCTCGTTCCTCCCTCCCTCCCGCGGCCTCGTTCCTCCCTCCCTCCCGCGGCCTCGTTCCTCCCTCCCTCCCGCGGCCTCGTTCCTCCCTCCCTCCCGCGGCCTCAATCCTCCGTTCCCCGGCCGCAAACCGCTCTCCCGTGGCAGCAATCCTTCCTCCCGCCGCCACGCCCCAATCTGCCCGCCGACACGGACGGTCTGCGAGTCGACGCGGACGATCAGCGCGGCGACGCGGACGGCCGGCGGCGCGCGGCGCGACGCGGACGGCCGGCGGCGCGCGGCGCGACGCGGACGCGCCGCCGCGGACGGCCGCCGCGCGCGGCGGCGCGGACGGCCGCCGCGCGCCGCGGCGGCGCCGACGGCCGCCGCGCGACGGCCGCCGCGCGCCGCCGCGGACGGCCCCGGCGCGCGGCGACGCCGACGGCCCCCGCGCGCCGCCGCGGACGGCCGGCGCGCGGCCGCCGACGGCCCCCGCGCGCGGCGGCGCCGACGGCCGCCGCGCGCCGCCGCGGACGGCCCCGGCGCGCGGCGACGCCGACGGCCCCCGCGCGCCGCCGCGGACGGCCGGCCGCGCGCCGCCGCGGACGGCCGGCGCGCGGCCGCCGACCACCCCGCGCCGTCGCGGACGGCCGGTACGGAGCCGCGGCCAACCTGCGCGCCATCCCGGACGGCTGCCCGCGATTGCCACAACCTCCCCCTTCACCCGCCCCCCTGCCCCACACTTCCGCGCCAGTCTCCCCTACCTCCTCCCCCTACTCCACCCTTAACAACACCAACAGCGGCACCGGCAGCAGCAGCAGCGGCACCGGCAGCGGCACCAGCAGCGGCACCAGCAGCGGCACCGGCAGCAGCACTTGTAACGGCAGCAGCGGCGGCACCAGCAGCGGCACAGGCGACGGCACCAGCAGCGGCACCCGCAGCAGCACCAGCAGTAGCACGTGCAGCGGCCGCAGCGGCGTCTGCAGCGGCTCCCTTACTGCTTCGCCGTCATGGCGTCGTCGGACTCATCGGTCGACCTAGCGACCATCGACACTCTCGAGTTGTTGGGCGACAACGCCGCCAACTGGCATTCTTATACCCTAAACCCTAAACCCTAAACCCTAAACCCTAAACCCTAAACCCGCCGTCGAGGTGTTGCTCTCCTCGGTCGTTGTCAGCGGATATACCCTTCGCTCCATCGTGTTCCAGGAGGAGGGTGGACTCCAGCCCATCGCCCCTTCCGCCCCCACTGGACCTGCTCCTGCTGAGCCCGGACCCGAGCCCGAGCCTCCTGGCGATCCTCCTTCTTTCGCACCGGATGTCAACAACCCACAAAGCGTGGAGTCTGCCATCCGTGCCTACCGCACCTCACTCAACGACCACCTTCGTCGTCAACTGCGCTACGAGGATGACAAGCGCACCTACGACGATGCTGCTGCCCGCCACCGCGAGTACCACGCCCAGCTTGCCACTTACACCATACGCCTCGCCACCTACACCACTGAGATCGCTACGTGGCGCATTGCTGATCGCCGAGCTCTCGCCATCCTCCTCGCCACTATCCCCTCCTCCCTCGAACAAGAACTTTCGCCAACCTCCTCCTCCCACCTATGGCAACTGCTTGTCGACCTCTTTGAAAGGCAGGACATCGCCACCCTCTATGCACTCATCAAGGACTTCGGATCCATCACCATGGATTCCACTGCCGGCGCAGCCGCCTTTACTCGCCGCGTCCTTGACCTTGCTCGCCGCCTTGCAGTGCTTGGTGTTACCTACCCTGACACCGTCATCTGCTGCCATCTCCTCGAGGGTCTCACCCCTGCCTTCGATGCCCACAAGCTAGCATACATGCAGCTCCTCTCCAAGCATGATACTCCCGCTCAGGTTGCCCAGTGGATTATCACCACTGAGGCTGAAATCCTTCGCCACTCCTCCTCCACCGCCGCAGCAGCACAGCAGCAAAGGCGGGCGTGGGGGGGGGCGTGGAGGTGGGCGTGGTGGTGGTCGAGGCGGCTCTTGCGGTCGTGGTGGCGTGGGTCGTGGTGCAGCAGCGGCCTTCCCACCCTGTCAGTATCTTCCCCTCTATGGCCCCACCTGAGGCCAACGCTGCAACCAAACCACTCATGCGACTGAGACGTGCTTCAAGGCACTCAGCGATGAGTGGTTCGCTTGTGGGAACTCTAGCACCCCTCCTCGCTGGTCCGCCCTCAACCCCCGCCCCACTCCCCTGGATGTCCGCACCTCTCCCCTTTACGCCCCTTCCTCCTCCTCCCAGGCCCACCAGGCCTTTGCTCTCCCCTCTCACCAGCAGCAGCAGCACCAGCAGCAGCAGCAGCAGCACCAGGGTGTCCAGCAGCAGGGGCCGCAGCAGTACGGGCAGCAGCTTCATCAGCTCCAGCAGCAGCTTCAGCAGCTCCAGCAGCAGCTCGACCTCCAACCCCAGCTTCCTCTCCTCCCTCCTCCTCCTGTCCCCCAGCAGCAGCCGTTTCCCAGCTGGACCGCCGGGAATGCGGCCTCCGCGGCCCACCTCTCCGGTCCATCCCCTGCGCCGTCCACAGGTGGCAGTGTGACTCCCTTTCCCTCCTCTGGCTTTGTTGGTCTGCTTAGTCAGCCTCCTTTTGTTGCATCCCCTATGTATGCCCTTGCTATTAATGAAACTTCAATTCAGTACTCCGCCTCACCCTCCTCCACCCTTGAGTTCGTCTTGGACAGTGGAGCCACTGACAATGTCTTTCGCGATGCTGGCAAACTCCATCCTCTCCCCACACCCACGTCCCTCCTCAGCGCTGATAGCAGCTTTTCCATCCCCTGTCACAACACGTCCACCCTTCCCTGTCCTCTCTTTCCCTCAGGTACCGTCACAGGTCTTCACATTCCCTCCCTTCGCACTAACCTCCTCTCCCAAAGGTCCCTCCAACAATCCATGATCACCACTCTCACCCCAGGTGGTGCTAACCATTGTGACCTTTACCAAACCTCCACAGGTCGCTTCCTCGCCCGCATTCCCTACAGTCCCCGCTCCCGTCTATACACCCTTCAGGTTCCTCGCCCCCTCACTTTCCAAGTCGCCTCCCCCCCCTTCTTCCCCCCCCCCCCTCCCCTCCCTCCCACTAACCCACCCGTCCCCCCCCGCCCCCCTGACTCTGACTGCTCATGTCGCTCCCTCTCCCACCCTGCCATCCTCTTCCATCACAGGCTAGGTCACCCCAACTTCGCCACTCTGCGCTCCTCTGTATCCTCCGGTCTCCTCCACGGTCTCCCCTCCTCCCTCCCTCCCCTCCCAAAGTCCCCTGCCCCCCCTTGCGTCGTCTGTGTTCAGAGCAAGCTCAAGCAGCAGCCGCACCGGAGCTCCCCCTCCGCTGCAGCCCAGCCACTCGATCTTGTTCACATGGACCTCTGGGGCCCTAACCCCTCCCCCACTTGCCAAGGCCATCGCTACCTCCTCGTGCTCGTCGATGATCACAGTCGGTACTCGTCCGTCTCTCTCCTTCAGATGAAGGCGGACGCCCCGACTGCGATCATTGCCTAGCTCGAACAGGCAAACACCCACTTTGGGCGCCCTGTTCGCCGCCTTCACTCTGATGGTGGTGGTGAGTTCCTTCATAACCAGATCTCCTCCTATTGCCAGTCCCGCGGCATTCTTCAGACTTACACCCTCCCTCACTCCCCACAGCAGAACGGTGTCGCTGAGAGCCGTGTTCGGGAGATCACCAAAACGGCTCGGTGTCTTCTTGTCCACGCCTCATGCCCCCCTTCTCTTTGGGGCTACGCCCTCCTTCATGCCGCCCTCCTTACTAACCTTTACCCTCACCCCCTCCTCCCCTCCACCACCCCCACTGAGCTATGGACAAAGGACAAACCCGATGTCTCCCCTCTTCGAGTCTGGGGCTCAAAGGCCTATGTCCTCATTCACCCGTCTGACCGATCCCGTTCCCTGGGAAAACTTGCCCCTCGTACCCTCCCTTGCATCTTCCTTGGTCATAACCCCTCTTCCCCCGACTATCTTTTCCTCCACCCCCCTTCCGGTCGACTAATTCGCAGCAGAGATGTCGTCTTTGACGAATCCACTCCGTACTATTCCTCTCCTCCGTCCACTGACCCACTCCCACCTCTGACTCGTCCCCTTGTCTGGTTGGGCAACACCTCTCCCCACCATCCTCTCCCTCTCCCTCCTCCCATCCTTATCCTGAACTCATCGGCTCTCTCATGTACGCCATGGTTTCTACTCGCCCTGACCTTGCCTACCCCATCAGCGTCCTCGCTCGCTTCGTTGGCGCTGGCAAGCATACGGAAGAGCACTGGCAAGCCGCCAAGCGCGTCCTTCGCTACATTCGTGGCACCAAGGACTATGTCCTTACCCTTGGCGGCCCTTCCCCTCCCCTCCTCAACGGCTACAGCGACTCTTCCTGGGCTGACTCTCGACCGGATCGGCGGTCCTCTCAGGGTTATGGTTTCTCTCTTGGCAGCGGTCTCATCAGCTGGCGGTCCACACGCTCCTCTGCCGTCGCCCTCTCCTATTGCGAAGCAGAGTTCTACGCTGCAACCATGGCCGCGCAAGAGGCGCGCTGGCTCACCTTCCTCCTTGATGAGCTTGGAGCCCCCCAACGCTGTCCCACCATCTGGTGTGACAACTCCAGCACCATCCACCTCACCAAGGATGCTGTGTATCATGGGCGCTCCAAACACATTGAGCTTCGCTTCTTCTTCATTCGTGATCTCGTTGAGGCCGGCCACCTTCGCCTTGGCAAAATCGACTCGGCGGCCAACCTCGCTGACATCTTCACCAAAGCCCTTCCCCAGGCATCCCACTCCTTCCTCCAGCGTCTCCTTGGCCTCACCCCTCCTCCGGTTTTGGCGGCCTCCTGATTACATCTTCTAGCCTTATGCATGTTGGGGGGTTGTGTTATAATTGTACATTCTATACATCATTCATAGGCTAGAATAGGTGTAGTCCCTTATGTTCTTGGGGGGTTGGGTGTACACTCCAACCACACTTTGTGGTTGGTCAAGATTGGATTTGGTCTTGGTCCTTGGTTGGCACTTGCCAACTTTTGGTCCTAACACCAACCAATCACTACCTAGCTACAATGTGGGGTTTCCTCCTCCACAAGGCATCTCTCCCATTGGCCAACTTAGTGGCCAATAGGGTTAGCTCCTCCTCCAGTCCTTTCTTCCTTGCATGCTTGTATTATAGAGCCTCCTTGGCTCATTACTCAATTACTATTGAATCCTATCAGCGACACCAGTGGATGGGGAGCCACAACTGGCAGCAACACCGGCGGATGGGGAGCAGTCACCGGCGGCAACACTGGCGGATGGGGCACCGCAACTGGCGGCGACACAAGCGGATGGGGCGCTTCCGGCGAAGGCTGGGGAACTTCCCGCGAGGACCAAAGGGGGGAAGCAGAGGAAATTGAGGCAGAACCTCCTGTTTTTCCTCTTGGTCGTCCTCCGCGCCGCACTGCACCTACACTGCCCCTACCTGACATCCAACCAGGGAGTGACCCCTGGGACACCATCGACTGGGGGAATGAGCCATCCACTACGCGTCGCACCGTTTGCGGGCCTTCCCCCGAGCCACGCGAACCAACCTTCTTCCCGGGAACTATCCCCAAAACCGATATTCCCCTCTCCAACATCCTTGACAGGGAATTCCTCACGCTCATGCTGACGACGGCGAACAAAGAAGAAGAATCTGAAGAAGCAGCGGCGACACCCGCTCAAGCGCCTGACGAGGATTCCGCAGAAGCACACGCACCTCCGGTTTCCGTGCAGACGATGCCATCTG